ATGACAGGTGATTCTCCAGTTTGGGGTTATTTCATACCGAGTGGAGCTTCACTGAACTTTGAATAAACAGGTGAACATCTCTTTGTGCAGCAGCTGTGGTTCAGCCATGGGGGGGCTGTGGACTCCAGCAGACGGTCTGTATTCGCTTTTACAATTCCAGAACGAAAGCTGCAACCAGAATAACCACAGGCCAAGTCAAACCGTCCATTCTGAAGAGACATGTTGAGAACTGACACTGCACGAGCTAATGCTAATTTAATAACTGCTGTGGTAACGCAAATGATCGTTTATCAAGACAACAGGTTGCCATGGAGGGTTGATGGGCAAGTACTTAATTTGTCACTGTCACTCGTCTCCTAGCATCTGCTGTTGAGTACATGAGGGAGGAACTTAAAGGAGCCTCTGCCCCCGCTCAGACATTCAGTGTAACAGCCGTCAGCTGATGGCTGTTTTCTACTGTGTATTTGACAAAAATCTAATTTGACAGCTGTCATCAGAGGGTTTGGTTTGCTCGGTGGCTTTCATTCAAACTGGCATTTCTGTCTTTGCCAAAGACTGTTCACATGGTGGTGGTGGAGAGGTTGGTTATTGATTGCTCGCCTCCTTTCCAATTCCTCTGTGTTTCTCTCGAAACACAACGGACTCTGACAGCCAATCACAGTCTGTCACTGGCCATATGTCAGCCTCATCACTTGGTGACATCCTGGATAACTAATTACGAGGGAGAACCAGAACTAGTTATTTAGCAGTGAAACTCAACTCGTCTGTCCGTTTTCAGACTTATTTTTCCAGCATGTCGACGTAAATCCCTCCGAACATATTGAAGCTCGTCGTGCACAGTGGCATTTATAGTTTCCTTGTTACTTAATTCTGTGTCTCAGCAGCTGTGTGGGTTGCTATGTAATCTCAATTGTGTCTCCACACTGCACGTGTCCTGAAATGTCGAAAATCAAGCATAGCAGTGTTTTTCTCTTGTAGCATTTTCCCTGCCAATAGTCTTACTGGAGTTATGGGCGTCAGGTTAAGGTTTGACCAGTTATTTTGTTTCTGTTGTTGTGTCCAAGACACTAGGCACTGAACTTATATAAACTGGCTGTTGGCCATAATGGGACAGATCCACATTAAATAGAATTTCTCCACCAATAACTTTGTTATTGTTGTGTACACTGCACTGTAATATTTGGCAGTAAAACTGAAACTGATTTTCTTTAAGATCTTGGAGTGAAGAAATACACAAAAGTGATAGTAAATCATTATTGATGATTAGTCCAACATCAGCAACATCAATGCTAAAATAAGACTCAGCAATATAAGAATACATCAGATATAGTTGATTTATGAGGACAATTACTTTTTGCACAGGAATCACCAGTAAAACTTGCAGTGAAAGCCAACTTTTTAAAACTCTCCTTTTGTTTTATACTGGTTCAGCAACTTTTGTGGGTTTAATAAAGTTTCAGTGTAAATCCTGGATCAGAGAACCGTATGCTCTGAAAAGATTCAGTTTGAAGCAGACTGCTGTGAAATGCTGTTAAAAACAAATGCACTCATTCAGTCATGGCAAATCATTCACATCCTTTAATTCCATCACCTCATGTTACCTTACATAATAATTTCAATGAATTCCACATAAGGACTTATATAGATTATAGGTATTGGATATGACCCAGCAGATACCCTTAGTTGAGGTATTCTGTTATTGGTGTCAGAAGAGAAAACTGGATAGCGCATCCTTTTCATTATTTTTCTTGTAATTAGCTTAAAATGTTATCAAGACTGTTCGAGAATGTTACACACAGAGCAGAAGAATTTAATAATCATGCACGTTTTAATGGAGCAGAGTCTTCTTCAAAGATCTGACCCTTTCCGTTCAGCAAAGCAAACTGGACAATGATTTGCTATAAATGATCAATTATTTGGCGTAAGCGGCTTTAAATGATATAATTGTATCCTACTAAGTTGTTTTTTTTTGGACCTTTTTCTTATCATAACCCTATTTTTTATCTTTGCTGTCATTCGCTATGATTCCTTAAGTTGGACCTATCATGTTCATTTTCAGTTGTAGTTGTGCTAGGGGACTCTTATTATTATTATTCACAGTTCTAAAAAAGTTCCTGTAGCACATCCCCTCAGTGCAGCCTCTGACTGAAAATCAGGCTCGAGCTCAGGTCTTCATTAGAGGCCTCCTTCAAAGCCTTCTTTCATCTGATTGGCTGATCACAGAATCCGACAGAGGGGCAACACATCCTGTGATTTTGAGCACCACCTCTTACCGGTGTGAAGATTCTGAAAGCAAATTGTAAAACTAAGCAGCTGGTGACACCGTCCATGTTGGAGCCTGAATCTGAGAGAGAGAACATCACAAACCTCTGCTTGAACAAAGATTACAAATCAAACTGTGTTCGGTAAATATTATATCCCAAACCTATCGTGAGAGATCATGATATCATACCATATACGCTATTGTTTCTAATACAATGTTATTCTGTTGTCAAAGACGTAGTATGCCTGCATTGTTGTTTTTTGTATGCAGGAGTTCATGTCTATTCTACACCTCAGGTAAATTGCACTGGTGAATGACTGAATAAAGACATATGTCACATATCAGCTTGTCATGTAAGAAAAAAAAAGACATTCAGTGCAGACTGATGACTGAGCTTTTGTCTCATAGGGATTACATTTACATATATTATACATATATATGACAAAAATCTAAAGTATAATAGTCCTCTCTTTTATTTATTTCCCTGCACTTACTGTTGGTCAACTTGAAGGCACAACAAACACCAACCTTCTGCTGCAGTACACAGACCTCTGTCCTCGTGCGATTCACACTGCTGCTGTTCAAGCTTTGCTGCAGTCTCCACACACATCAATTCGGAGCCAATGCATTGTTGATTAGGTGTGGACACGGTAATTGTTTTCATTGCTTTGGATTGGAACGACATTGAATCTAATGTGGCCCATCGATCTTTTGTCGGGGGGAAATTGGGTTTGTTACCAGCGTTGTAGATCTCTCATGGCCCACGTGCTAACCTTTTATACTCTCTCTCCCTCACCACATTTTTCCCTCTAACATCTATCTATTCCCATCCTCCCCTCTTCATACGCCTGCCTCATTCTGGTACGCATTGTCTTTTAATCTCTCCCTGTTTCTCTTCCTATCTATCTTTCAATTTGTTTTTTTTCCTTCCCACACTGGCTCTTTTTCATTCTACTCTCCTCTTCGCAGTCAATTTAAAAACTCAATTTGAATGATTGCTTATTATAAACAGTATTACCAGGGAGGTACACCACTGACAAACAACTGAAAGGTGTAACCAGCTTGTCTTTGGTATTTTTACTCAATATATGACTTAAAAAAGTGATTATGTCATCCACAGATTTTCTGTCTGTTGGCTAATTGATTTAATGTAAGGAATGAATTTGGTTGAGGTCCTCTTTTTCTACTGCTTGTTATTTCCAGGACTCCAGAAACCTTCCTCAAATATCTGTTTAGTCTGGAAAAACATTTCTTTCTTTCTATTTTGTAGTATTGGAACATATTTCCTGCCAATTGCAAGTTGAGGCATACCTTCTAAAATACTGAATGAGGATCTTTGTAAAATCTTTGTGTTATGTTTGCAGAAAATGCAAGTCCTTAGAACATTTCAAAAGATTTACCTTTTTTTATGAAAGCTGCACTAATGTTTATTGTGTATTAACTAAAAAACTATGTGTTTTGAAAGGTGGCTCATAGTAACAAACACACAACTTCCTTGTTTTTTTTTCAATTTAGTGTTGCAGCTTTCATTAACTACAAACACAACAGCAGCATTAAATGCTCTGATGTACTCATTGATTATCTGCACAGCACCAAAGAGCAATACAATAAGCATGAGCCAGTTATTTAAGGTGTTGGAGACCAAACCAGGGTGAAAGTTGGAGTTGTATTCATAGAGTTGGCAGAAACATTACTGGACATAAATGCTAATTGTTTCCTGGTTTGCATTCACCATAACAAATTAATAAAGTGATAATACTGCATATATGTGTTGTGTTTACAGCCAAGAAAAACTTTATATCTCCTTACCATCAGTATTTATTTTCATCGAGCCGGTCTCCTACCCCTGCCTTTTGGTTAGTGCGCTCTTATGCTTCTTGGCACATAACCACGTCAGACTGTCATTCAGTGGAGTTGTATAAATCCATCAGCAGGAATGTGTTTTAGTCAGAGAGAAGATCTTCATCCATCAGGGACCCTTGGCCATCAAAACAGTACATCTCATGACTAGTGGTCCAAAACTCAACAGGTCAAAAATCTGAATAAACAATAAAACACCTACTTTTATGTCTTAGGTGTCTCATCAGTTTTTTCAGGGGGGCACTTACAAGATATGAGACAATAACTCACCATGATCAGTGACATCCATAATTGGTTTACAGACTGAACACTATGGCTCTGTTGTGCGACCTCCCGGCTCTTCCACGTGCACACATGGAAAGCCTAATGTAGAGAGAACACACCTCCCTATGCTTTCATGAGCCTTCATGGTAAGTGAGGGAGGGAGAGCAGCTAAAAGACCCCTGCACAGAACAGAGCAGCATCAATGACATCTCATGACATTGATTTGGTCAGATTCAGTATAAAAAGGAGGCGTTGGGGTAGAGATGGGTTGCAAAGTGGCTTGGAAGAGTAGGAAGCTAAAGCAGCTTAGATAAGAGCGAAGAGCTTTGTTGAATACATAGGAGGGGTTCAGCTGATGTGTGCTGGTTTAGAGATCTGCTGCTGTCACCTTACATTGTGGCTGAGCTTGACTTTGTAGCCTGCCTGAACACTTTCTGTTAAATATGCTCTTCTATTAAAGGTCAATATTGAATTGTAATGTCCACATTGTAATTGACTGGTCTAATACTTACACATAATTGCAAGTTTAGAGCTCCCAGACGTCAGCCAGAGCAAATGGGACATCACGACTAACTATTTCTGTTCTTTGTCTCTTTGTCTTTGTGCCTCTCAGCAGACAGAGTGCAGAGCCAGTCCTAAGAAAAGCACAGAGCCAGCTGTGGACCTGCTGGGCCTGGGTAAGACATGATCACTCCTCTACCAAACACCTAAATAATAATCCTCTGGCAATAGAGCAACTCATCATGATAGTTTGCCTAATCAGATACAGTGACAGGAAAATGTTTACTGGAACTGTCTGGTTTGTAACTCTGGTCTTCATCTATTGCACTTCAGTCTGCCCTGGGAGAGGGATCCCTCACTTGTGGCTCTCTCTGACGTTTTTTCCCCCTGTTAATAGTTTTTGTGTGGTAGGTGTTCCTGACTCTTGTTGAGGGATAAGGACAGAGGATGTCACACCTTGTTAATGTAGGACAAGTTGTGATACATATTCGTAAATATGGGCTATACAAATACAATTTGATTGCTTGATTGATCCAAATCACAAGTGTAGACAACCCCAATGTGCTTTAACACAAACAATGATAATAATTAGCATTTTCATTAAAGACGACCATAAAGCATTGAAGAAAAAAAATATAAAAGGAATGAAACTCTCAGTAAGTAGCTGAGCCTCATTTGGCAGCAAAAACTTCAAATAACCGTCTCGTATCTGTAGATCAGAGCTGCTCAGTGTTCAGGAGGAATTTTGGATCATTCTTCCCACAGAGTGGCTTCAGCTCACACGTGTTCTCAGGGTGTGAAGGACTCTCTGAAGTTCACTCCACAGAATCTCTCTTGGGTTAAGGTCTGAGCTCTGACCGGCCCTGACTCCTAAAGTTGGATTTTTTTTGTTTGACATCACTTTGTAGCAGATTTACTTTGAGGTGTAGCATCGTGGTCCTGCTGAATCCCCCAGCTTCCTCTGAGATTCAGCTGACAGATGACCCCCTGACATTATCATGGAAGGTACCTTGTTAAAGTTGGGACTATGTTTTGAACTGTGCAGCCCTAGAGGCAACAGAACAGCCCCAAATCACAATGCTCCCTCCACTATACCTTACCTTTGTGTGTGTGAAAATTCCCTCATTATCTGCTCACCACTGTGCCAGTGGATGGGTGGGGGAAGTGTTTGAGGCCACAAAATACTTTTGGAATCTCAGGGGTAAAAAGAGTTGCAGCCGAAGTGACCTTTTCTACAGACGTAATAAAATAGAAAAATACATAGAGTAACATGCCTCCATACTGCTCGTGTGGTGTCTGATATCCTCCTCAGAGGGGCGTTGATGTTGTTACGGACACACTGGAAAACTGAAAACAGAAACCCGGATGGAAATGTTGAAGTTTCCATGTCGAATATGAATGTCGGGGATACAGACACTTGGATGACACCACACAAGCAGCATGAAGGCATGTTAGGTTTTTTTTACTTCTGAAGAAGAGGTCCCACATACTTCATTTGGCTGCAACACTGTTTAACCCTGAGAATCCAAAAGTGTTTTGTGAACTTTGTGAAGTGGTGAGTGGACATTTTTCAGTGAACTATCCCTTTAACTACCTCCAATGAGTCTTAATCTGTCATTTTTACTTGAGTAAAAGTACAAATGAATAGACAAAATGTACTCAAGCAAAAGTTGAACTAACACATTAACTTTTCTACTTGAGTCTAAGTAAGTGAGTACTTGAAGTATTAAAAGTACGTGTTATTGATTGATTAAGAAGTTCAGTGTTATTAGATGTTATAACATTTCTAGAATGATAGTAGAGCATTTGCAGGTTATGTAAACACTTCTTACCTTTAGGACCATTTGATTTTGAATATCAGTCAATCTTATAATAAAATACATTACCAGACCAACATTTTACACCCTGAACCAAACTTTCTTGAAATAATTATTAATTTATTTGGAATAATCAATTGCAATAAATAAGTTGTGGATATTCATAGAGCAACCAAGGGAAATCTGTACAAAACCAAAATGAAACAAACAAATCTAGTGGCTGATGAAAACATTGTGGACTTAATGACATGAGTGAGCCATCACTTGAGCAGCTGCCTGGAAATGCAACCAGAGAAAAACTCCAATCAAAGGCTGGCAAGCTGTTGTATGAGAAAAGTGTCTGTCTCACTTTAAATTACACATTCACCAAAATTTAGATGTCCTAATTTTCCACGAGCACTGAAACGCATGCATGCAGTTCTGTATGTAGCTGGAAACTCCACAAACAAATGTAAAACCAGTCGATCAATGCACACACATTTAACAATCTCTGAGAAAACACAATGGGATGCTTTTCAAAAGCAAGGCAAAACTGTCCCCTCTTGGAAGTTAGAGATCTAACTATACGAATTTTATATTTATCCAGGTTCTGATCAAATATTTCCATATGTGTTCAAATTGCTTGGTATTTGAAAGCGCTCTGGAAAATGCAGTTTATGACTCCCTCAAATTATGCACAAATCATTGTACTCATCCTCTTCTTCAATTCGTGAAATAATACCCATTTGTGACCATTTCTGTCCATATGTTTTGACCGCTTGCTCTCCTTCACCACAGGAGAGCAAGGGTGTGAATGTGAAAAAAGGAACTGTCACCAACTAATGTTAATTTCAGGAGCAATGTAATGACTGATCAATAATAGCATGGCATTCAGAGTGTATACCTCCAAGGCCCAACAGTCCCCTTAAATTCAATCAAGTCTATAGCCACATTAAGTTATCTCAACTACACACTGGTGGCAGTGGCAGGTTTCTACCTCTATTTGTTACCATTAAGCAGTTGAGAAAATCTAACCCTCTAATTTAAATCTGCTAGATGTGGCTCTGTACTGAAATGCACACCCTCATAGACATCAGTCCCATAAATGAGGGTTAGAATCTCCACTCTGTAACACAACTGCACCATCACAAGTGATTCTGTGGTGGCAAGAAATCCAGCAGAGTGACACATCCTCTCTTTCAGCTGAATTCTCCTGGCTCATTCATATCCATACTGAAGCTTATAAACAGGTTTTATGAACTAGGAGTAAGACGTAATTCATTTTGATCAACTGCCTTGTGAAAACAAGGTATCATAAATTAAATACCACACAGCAGTTATCCAGACTGTTAGATACATAAATCAACATTTAGTAAGAATTAGTATTGATCAGTCTAGTTATTGGTATTGGCAAATACCCAATAATAAAGGACTGATTGGGATTGGGGCCAAAAGACTTGATTGGGACATTTCTCCAAGCAACTCATGCTGGAGCCCTGCAGAACCTTATCATGGAAACAAATGTTATGTTTGAAACGGGACGCTGCCACAAATTACAATCTGCATGTAAAATGTTAAATGGTCTGAATTTATTTATTTTAGACTTGATGACGACTCAGAGTGCAAAGTTGAACAGTTTTGCCATTCACACATTCACACAGTTAATCTATGGGCATCACTATTTTTATGAGAACGGCACACAGCAATTTTGGGTTCAGTATCTTGCCCAAGGACACTTTGGAATACAGAATGGGGAAGACTGGGATTGAATTGCTGATCCTCTGGTCAGTGGACGATCAGTTCGACCCACTGATCCACAGCCACGTAAATTCCACCTGCCTGTTTTAATGTGATTCAGCTTTGACCAACTAAATCATGAGACTCTCCAGTGATTTACTTCTCATTCAGTGGAATACTTGTTTTATTTATGTAACTACATAACTACTACACAAGAGTGGAAGGGCAATAACAGAGTTTAATGACAGTGGATTTGATTAGACAATGAATAATTTACAATTTGTGACAAGCTGTCGGTAACTTGCAGCCGGGGCCAGCACTGTGTCTGGCCTCGGCTGCTTTATGCCAAAGCATGCAAGTGAAAAATCAAAATCCAGGCCTGATAATTACTTGTGTCTGCATTTACCGCCTGTGTTTTAATAACATCTGCCTCACTCCGTACATAGTTATGTTGTATCTATTATGGCACAAAAACGTACACCTCAGTGTTCCAGTACAGTGGCTGCAATAACTGAAAACCATCTTATGTGACATAACCACTGGCAGGATTATTATTCATATTAGTTGAACAAAAGTGTCAATTACCAAGCTGTCAGTTTAGACACAGAACATGTTCTTTATCTCCTGCACACATGACATTTGTGCAGCAAAAAAACTGGAAGGATTGAACGCACCAGAGATATGACATTCAACAAAGGTCACAAGCTGGATTCAAAACTGTGACATTTTGAGAACATGGCATGCGTCTTGGCCGACTGCGACCTCCAGGAAATGTTGCCCCATTCTGCCTGACGCCCTCAATCCTGAACACCACAGCGCAGAGTAAGGGCTGGCCCAGGGTTTCACCATAAATTTGTAATATGAATTCCCCATGTTTCCCCAACACAAGGCTGTATTGTATCAGACAACAGCTGAGGCGGGGCTGCCAAAAAGAAGAAAGAGCCGGTGGATATAGAATTGATCAAAAATTCCTGACCGCAGCATGAGAGTGAGTGAGGGTGGATGCCCTGCTATAAATAACCAATGTATGCACCTTGCAGCTGTGTCTAGTGGATGGGATTTCACACATAATCAATAAGTCAAATAGGTGGCGGTATGCCCTCAGCACTCAAAAACCCCTTCATCTATCCTGCCACGATTTACTGTTACTTTACTCAGCAGCTGTCAAAAGAGACACTTTCTCTCCGTGCTTCTGTGTTCCTGTTCAGTTTGATTCACTTTAACAGGCTGCACTAGAATTAATGTGAAAAATGTTTGTTTTCCCCATCGGGGCTTTTTCCGCCTCACGTTTGTAAAAAAAAAAAAAAATCAGGCTAAAATAAGCTTTTCATTTAAGATCTAATATCTTAAAGAAAGCTTCTCTTTGCCTCATAAAAACACATTTTATTTATTTGCCTCAGGTCGAGCTGGATGATTTCTGTGTCCCGTGAGGATAAAAAGCGTCTCAGAAATGTTCCCTCCTGCCAAAAATAGATCTATTCAGGAGCGAGTGAATCAATTTCAAAAACTTTTATTGATGGAGCGCCCTGTTTGTTGTCCGTCCGTCTCACTCACAGCTCAGTCCTCTCCTGTAATGGCTCTGATATGGTGCTGAATTTACTTCCTTCACATTGTCCCCTCAAGTGTTACTGGAGCAACAGTGT